CTTGCAATGTGAAAATTTTCCAATCTACATCGACTACCTGGAGAAGGGCAAAACGGTCACAGGGCTGTACTATGCCGAATTATTGGGCCGATTCGCCGCCGAACTGCAGAAAATACTGCCCCATTTGGTGAAGAAAAAGTGCTCTTCCATCATGACAACGCACCGGCTCACACTTCCGCCCTCGCCAAGGCCAAATTGGTCGAATTGGGCTACGAACTGCTACCCACCATATTCTCCAGATTTGGCCCCGTGTGATTTCTTTTTGTTTCCAAACTTGAAAGTCACTCGCTGGACAGAAATTTTCGTCGAATGAGGAGGTCGTCGCCGCCACAGGGGCCTATTTTGCAGACCTCGAGAAAACGTATTTTTCAGACGGGTTAAAGAAGTTGGAGCATCGCTGGGTGAAGTGTATCGAGCTAAAAGGAGATTATGCTAAGAAATAAATCGCCACTTTTCCAAAATTTTCGTTTTTTCTTTTGGAGGCTAAGTACTTATCGCACCACCCTCGTAGTTCATAATGACCTGTCATAGTGCGTATAATGGTCGGATCTTGATGTATGCTCCCGTTAAGAAATTTATTATACCCGTTACTCGTAGAGTAAAAGGGTATACTAGATTCGTCGGAAAGTATGTAACAGGCAGAAGGAAGCGTTTCCGACCCCACAAAGTATATATATTCTTGATCAGGATCACTAGCCGAGTCGATCTAGCCATGTCCGTCTGTCCGTCTGTCTGTCTGTCCGTCTGTCCGGATGAACGCTGAGATCTCGGAAACTATGGGAGCTAGGCTATTGAGATTTGGCGTGCAGATTCCTGAGCTTTTTACGCAGCGCAAGTTTGTTTTAGCAATGTGCCACGCCCACTCCAACGCCCACAAACCGCCCAAAACTGTGGCTCCTACAGTTTTGATGCTAGAATAAAAATTTTAACTGAAATGTATTGTTCTCATCAATACCTATCGATTGACCCAAAAAAAAGTTTGCCACGCCCACTTTAACGCCCACAAACCGCGAAAACCTGTGACGCCCACAATTTTCATGCTAGATAAAAAATTTTAACTGAAATGTATTGGTCTCGTCGATACCTATCGATTGGTCCAAAAAAAAATTTGCCACGCCCACTCTAACGCCCATAACGCTTAAATCTGTATACCGCCGGTAGGTGGCGCATTTTAATCTCGCTTTGCTGCTTGCATATCTCCATTTAGCTGAGTAACGGGTATCTGTTAGTCGAGGTACTCGACTATAGCGTTCTTCCTTGTTTTTCATTAAGTTAATTGATGAACCGGTATCTACGAGGCAACGATAATTATGATTATTTATAGTTTTTTTACATTGGAAAATTTTCATTTTCATCCTAAACATCTTCTTCTTTGTACTCTTTATTTTGTTGATAATTTTCGTACTTTGGGTACTGAGCCCGATCGTCAACTTGGCGGTTGGCTTTGATTCGTTGTACTATTTTGCTGTCCCTGAATTAAATTTCTTCGAAACTCTTGGTAACTTCCCCTATTTTGGTCAAAAGTTTTATTTCTGTTATTCGATTAGAACCTATAATTTTGTGGAACCATTCTTTAGGGTGTAGCTGAATTGAAAGAGCTTTGCCAGGATTAAATTGTTGGGTGTTGTACAAATTAGTGTAGGAGTAGGGGTTACGTGTATAATTTGTTTGTTGTTGCTTTTGAATTTTATTAAATGTTCATTTTCTTCGTATAGCCCTTCTTGCTGAGCCACTTTTTTCAGTTTAAGTACTGTTGAAATATTGCTTCTTGCTACTGTCATAAAAATTCTGTTAGGTAATTTTCGTTGTATTAGGTTTTTTGTAGTCCTAAACATTGCTTCTGTGTACAATATTAATTCATTTGGATTTCCCCTTAAGTTCTAAGTTGTTGCTTATAATTACAAAATGTTCTTAGGTTACCTTGTAAGTATTTAGTATTGTATAATCGCCTTAATAGTTCCTCCACAGGGGTTTGCGATTTGTACTCGTCGACTAGGGCTGCTCTAAGATCTGTAAGCCAGTTGTTGACTTGTAGAACTTGCAGAATCCTCTGAGCATCACCGGTGATTTGAAGTTCAATTGCTCCAAATATAACGATCATTGGTTATAGGATACAGACGCAAAAGGCAGTTAACTCTTCTGACAAAGGTTCCTAGGGTAGATGAATCTCCTTTAAACGTTGGAATATTCCGGATCTGGGACAAAAGCTGATTTAAGTTTTGCTCCGTCAATGGGTTGGGTGCCACCCCAATTTGTGGTTGCCCTTGAGCTGGTGGTTGTTGGTCCATTTTATTGTGTTTAATTAAATTCCACTCAACTTTATCACTGACCGAATTGGATTTATTCAGTAGTCGATTAAAATATAATTTATTTTTATATTTTTTATCAGTGCCTTTAATTTGCACTTAGGTTCTTTTGAGGATCTCTTAGTTGCACCTCCGAGCTAGTCGATTAAATTGCTTACTTGTGGGCAATTCCATACCACGCGCTGATCTGGATATCCTATTAGTTTAGAAATATCCTTTTAATTGATCAGAAAGCTCCCGACTTTGTTTTTTCGCAAGGATATTTTTGAAAGAGATCCTACCAAATGCGCCATTTACATGAGTCGTTCTTCGCCCAAATAAAAAAATATGACATTTGTTATATTTGTTGGTTATTCTTTATTAAAACGTTGGAAAAAGACTGATTGTGTGTTACAGAATTGGTTAGAATGAAACCTCGGTTTGCATCTTAGAATTTACTGTTAGTCCATTTGGTGACGCAATCGCAAGTGGATGATGCGATCGTCACTTCTTTGTTTATGTTTACATAATTCGGACTTATTAGTTTTTGCGATCTTATTGGATTTTCACGTTTATGGAATTACGTCATTGTTGACTTTCGGACTTAATCAATTTTCTTTGTTTATTTGCATTGCAAGATCTCAAGCTTCTGTAACGTTTTAAATCAAAGCCGAAATTGGCGATTCTGTTTGTTTGTGAACTGGTTCTTTGAACTGGTGGCCGTTAAGAAATCGCAGTGCATACACGTCACTATATGTATGCAGATATGGATATGTATGTATGTAATGTTCGCAGGTTTTATATTTGTTAATTAATTAATGCCGGCGGGTATGTGTTGTGGTGGACGTTTTTGATTTCTTTCTATCTGGACTGTGTTGGAAAAACGAAAAATATGTGCAAGTATTTTAGCGGCTGCGGATATACAGTGAGAAAATCTTGGAAAGTTTTGTGGGCCTGAATTGGCAGAACACTTGATATTAAATTATTCTCACTGTATGCTTGACATATATTTGTACAATATTTTAACTAAGCTTGGATTTTCTTCTCTCGATTTTATTTAAGTGTATGTATGTTATTATGGATGTAAGGCCAAATGCAATTAAAAAAGGAGTCGGATAAATGGGATAAAGGAAAATCGAAGAAAAAATGGCGAATTATTTTATTAATTGCCGTTGTCGGCATCGTACAGAAAGTCAAACGAATTATATTTTCGAGTGGCTGACTGCAGACCGGCAATTCGAAAGATGAAAAAGCTTTACTTATTTTGTTTCAAGATCCAGCTCGAAGGACAAAATGTTATGCCGGGGGTAGCGAGGAAACGCTGGTAGATGGCGTGGGGGGGCGGCGGGAACTTGCGGCGTCGGCTGGCTGCTGCGCTGGGCTTCGGCGGTTTGGTGCTGGTGCGGCTGGCGTACGTCGGGTGCGTCGGGTGCGTCGGACTGCTTCTGAGCTGTAGGGGAGAAGCCACACGATTCGCGATACCCCGTTGACCGAAACAAATTACACAAAATGTTCACTTTGTTCAGAACAGAGTCGGGGGAGCGACCGCGGTTTATTCTTGAACTGGCAAAATCGAACTAACTTAAGCCTAAGCAGAGTTCCGCGCTCCAATGCGCAGTGAAGACCACACGGAGGGGAGATGGGAACAGAGCGGGAGAGCGAGAGAGCGGTGCACTAGGAGAGCGGTGCACACGGAGAGCGGTACAATTGGATAGCGGTGCCAGGGTCCAGCTTTGCCGGACAGTGGTCCTGAACACCAACTAACCGTCCAACACTGTGGCGCCCACAATTTTAATGCTAAAAAAAATTTTAACTGAAATGTATTAGTCTCGCCAACACCTATCGATTGACCCAAAAAAGTTTTCCAAGCCTTAACTATTAAATCTGACTGCCGCCCACATAACCATATATTGAGATCGCGGGTAGATGACACATCACAATCTCGCTTTGCTGTTTGCATATTTCCATCTCCCTTTTGGTCCCTTTAGCTGAGTAACAGATATCTGATGGTCGAGGTACTCGACTATAGCGTCCTTCCTTGTTTTAAAACTATATACTGCAAGAAAAAGCAAAAAATGTGATTTTTAGGCTGGTTCCAGCGTATATGAGTCTTTGATGCAAACTAAAAACATCTCCAAAATAATTTTGGTATGTTTGTGAATTTTTCATTTGTTATTCAGAGGACGATGAAGATATGTAAATTTATTCTATATGTATAAACATACATGATTCACAAACTGTCCCCAACTATTTTTTGCTTTTGCAAAGCCGTACATTGATGTAGATAAAGGCATTTGTATGCGGTAAAAAAAGTTGCCAAATTGAAACGTAGCTCAGATGGCACGCAGGCCATAAATATGGTACTGCGTCCTTAGGGAACAGTACCACCCGGCCACTTTAAGACAGCATTTCCATCTCCACTTACAACAGAAAAAAAATTGTTGAGCTTATTTCTAATTAAAGGCGTCACAATTTAAGGGACCGAGTAACTTTAAACAACCTACCATATCAAGGTAATATTGATCAACACACCGCTTCCTAGGTTATACGCTAATGGTATTCTGTTCTGCACAAGGCAACTCACAGTCCACTCAAGTACCACAATTCAACTCCGTGCGAAAAATCGGGTGTCTCTGATACGTACTAGGACCTTTATTCCTACTTTAGCATCATCCTATCTACAGCCAAAACACGTTTAAAGAAACGTCTTTATAATTTAATATTAAGATATATTTGTCTTGATTTATTATTTAGAACTTAAATTATACATATTTAAGATTTAACAAATATGATATTTATGTTATGAAGTTCCTTTCACAGGAATAGAAAAACCACTCAACACAAGTAAAAATTAATTTATACGAAATTATAGCCAAGGATGCCAGGCAGGGTCCATGCGACAAAGATTATCGATGTTGGTTGCCGATTGTATAAGCATAGAAATCTTTTTATTTTCAATGCTATCGAAATAAGAAATTTTATTAAAACGCATCATTATGATGTCCACCGCTGAATTCACAACGCTAACTGTTTGATCCATAACATTTCCATCGGAATACCGGCCTTCAGAACCATCTGAAAATTTACATTCTCTGAACCCTTTTTTTTGCAAGGCCATTATTTCATCTTTTAAAACAGTTTGTAGTATAGAACATAGCTTATAGTTCGGTTGAATAAAACATCGAGCTGTAGCCACAATTGCCGCCGATAAAGGTCCGGTTATTCCAATATGTGTTATAAATTCACCAACGTTTGGTGTTAGGCGAAATGGTACAGGTCTATGTTGGTTAAGCTGGCACTTATCATCATTCAAATCAAACTTGAAATACGATATGTTCATGAGTCCTGAGTCTTGATGAAGGTACATCATATCCGCATTTAGACGAGTAAGATTCAATGCGTGTTCGCATAAAAAAGCCAAGGCCAACTGCAGGGTAATCTGAAAAGGAAATAAGCAAATTAATTTTTAAGCTAATACTTGTAAGAATTATTTTTTTAAGATGACTTAAAATCAAAAATTGCGAGAGAACGCTTAAAACGAGTGCCCCGTTACTCAGTTAAAGGAAATGCGAGGGAAATTAATATTTGCAAACATCTCCTGGCGCCACCTGATAGTAACAACAAAAGTTCAGTCACACTTACAAAATATTCAAGACTGTGGGCGTCGAACAAACAGAATTAAGCCATAGGGGTGTCGAATGATACAACTGCGCTGCGCAGAAACCCCTAGATTCTGTATTCTTGATCCCAAATACATTTTATAGATTCCGAGAACTCAGCGTTCATACGGACAGACAGGACAAGATCGACTCGGTTAGTGGTCGTGATTGAACAGCTTTTTTGCGTTGACATTTTTGATTTGCCTGAAACTGTTTTTACGTATACTATTCGGTAAATAGGTAAAAAAAAACGTTAAATTTACAAAATTACCCTCTGTTTGAAAATCTATATCTCCAGCTGTAGTTATCCGATTGACTTCGTGTCTTTTGTATAATAACCCCGGAAACCTAAACTTTTTAAATACATTTTTTTAAAAACACAAATTTTTCAATTTTTTCTGGAACAAGAAAGGAAGTTAACTTCGGCAAGCCGAAGCTTGTATACCCTTGCAGCTATAATTATTAAAATTAAAAATCCAAAAAATTATATTCCCAATAGTATAAGATAATATGTCAGAAAACACCGAAGCTATAACTTGATTCATATTATTTTCCCACCAATTTTCCGATCGTTTCTATGGCAGCTAAATAATACAGACATCCGATTTTTATCAAATTAAATTCGAAATTCAAAACCAATTAAAAAATGTTATTTCCAAGCTTAGGAGGTTAGATGTTAAAAAACACCAAAGATATAATTTAAAAAAATTTTTTCCCGATTATTCCTATGGGAGCTATAAGATATTAGTGTTCGATCCGGCTGGTTCCCACTTATATACTACCTGCATAACATAAGATATAAGAAGATATAAGACTGAGAGACTAGTTTGCGTAGAAACGGACGGACAGACGGACATGGCTAGATCGACTCGTCTAGTCATGCTGATCAAGAATACATTTACTTTATGGGGTCGAAAATGTCTCCTTCACAGCGTTGCTGACTTCTGACTGAAATCATTATACCCTCTGCAAGGGTATTAAAAATATGGGAATAGCTTAACAATTGCGAAAGTACTCGCGAGTTATGGGGACACTCACACTACAATTCCAAAAGGAAAAGAGCCGTAGCACATGAAAAAATAGCATGTGCTCTGCTCTTATCTCGCTATCAATTTTTTGCTACCGTTACTGCTACACAGAGCACATTTTCTGATATCGCTATTGCTACAGTTTCTCAAGCGACAAAACTGCGAGCAGAGCAGAGCACATACTTTCTCGTTGTTCTGCTATGGCTCTGCTACGGCTCTCGTCAAAAAGAGAGCGATAGCAATAGCAAAACCAAATACTACGAGAGTAGCGTAGCTTTTCAAACGCTGTACGCAAGTAGATTCGTCCTTTTTTTCTAGGCAGCAGTTTAGTCACTTAAAATAATAAAGTTAATATTAAAATTTTGTTAACACTGTTATAAACGAAAGAAGACATAGTCAAATACATACAGGTGTGCTCTTGTGCCAGAAAATCTTATTCGCTTTGAATCGCCAACGCCAACGCAAGAGTTCTGAGAAAGGGTTCTGAAGTTGAAACTGCTGTTTTTTTGCTTTTTTTGAACCGCAGATCCAAATGCAAAAGGAGGTATAGAATATAGTTGTCTGATTCAGTTCGTTCCGACTTTTTTACTACTTGCAATAGAAAAAAGACGTTTGGGAAGTTAGCTTAAGATAGCTTAAAAACTGAGAGACTAATTCGCAAAGAAACGGACAGACATACTGGCAGACGGAGGGAAACGAGGACAAAACGCGGCCAGATTACAAAAAAGGACCAGCGTCTTAAAAAATAGTTTATAGGAAGTGCAAAGAAAAAAGCGTGGCAGACCTTCTGCTCGGATTTAGAAATGGATTTAGAACTAGACTTAGAATGGAAGTTTCACGACATTCTTCCAGTTTCCATTACCAAAACAAATCTACATAATGTATAAAGTTATTATTTCATCACTACAACTGTAGAAGCCGCATTTATGGGCGGTTTGTGGGTGCTGGAGTGGGTACCCTGGCGAAACTAAGTTGCGCTGCGCAGGAATCTCAGGAATCTGCATGCCTAATCCCAGTATTGTAGCTTTCATAGTCTCCGAAATCACAGCGTTCATAGGGACAGACGGACTTGGCTAGATCAACTCGGCTAGAGTTCCTGATCAAGAATATATATACTTTATGTGGTCGGAAAGCTTCCTTCTACCAGTTACATACTTTCCGACGAATCTAGTACACCCTTTTACTCTACGAGTAACGGGTATAATTATTCAATGCCAATATAATACAAGGTCCAAGCAAATTGTGTATAGTTGTGTCCCCCTGTCTCTTGGTTTAAGATGAGGTGATTGTAAGAGGGCTTCCCGGGAAAATACAAACGCAGAGCTTATGCTTAAATTTATAAGTATTCGCAGACTTTAGATTCCAATTATACATTAAATATAAGTACACCTCGTTAGACCGAAGGCGTGCGTTCCAGTTTGTTCTCTTGACAAATTCAGCTGGTCGACCGATCAGCTGTTGACTGGGACAAGCAGCAAACTGAACATGTCTCCCGCCAGTGCTAGACCTAGCATGAGACATTTTTGCTTGTCCGCGTATTTCTGGTTCTTCCTGGGAGTAATAGAGCAAGAAGTGTATGGAGGCAAAACGTATATACAACAAATAGGGTGTATTGGTGAGTGCGCAGCAGCATCAATGGGTGGCGGGCAAAGCTTTGGCACAGAATGCTTTAACAGTACTTCCTTGGTTTAAAGCTTTACCATGCGGACCAACTAGTCCGCCCTGGGTCGAAGCTCCATAGCTTGAAATTCTCATCCAATTGACACCATTACGGTCTTTGCTGCAGATGAGTCAGACAGTCGCAGCTCCAGGCCTTCCAGAAATGGCGTAGCATGAATTGTTGGGTGAGGAACTGCTCTCTTAAGGATGTAGATGGTGGTAGGTATTCTGGCGGCGAAAACATGGATTCCCCAAGCGACTTTACATTGGCTTTCCACAAGCCACCGACTGATGAGGGTTCAAGTGCAAGTAGTTTTCTGCATCGCTCGTCTGGTAAACCTGTCCAGAGTCAGCAATAAGTGCGGCAAAGTCATCTGCGCACCACCATGGCAAATTAAGCAATGAGAGTGCCGGATTACCAAATCAGTAATCTAATGATAGTTAGGCAAGATTATTGGATACCGGGGCTCATGCGAAAGAGGAGAGTGGCGCAAACGTCCCTTTACTCGTAGGATGTCGTCTGACAAGATCGGTGTCAAACTCAAGAGCTTACTTCTAGAGGGTAACCGTTTAGAGCCACTAAATGGGGCTAGGTTACCTGAGAAAGCTTCGCGATGTACAATGCGTAATAAAGCTTTCAGAGCGTGGTCTAGTTCCTCAATAGTTAGGGGTCCCCTGCAGTTTCCTTTTTTCCTTCCTACGTTGTTCGTGAATCGAATTATGTAGAGCCTGACTGCATGCCGAAAACCTTTCAACAATGGTGGTGATCTATCGGTTACATGGTGTATAAGCCGCTTGTCCACCTTAACTTCCTGATCTGTGTCGCCCACTCAGCATAGTCCGACCTCTGCGACTGGCCAGCAGTTTTGGTTGCATCTAAGCCGATCTGGACCTGTCCACCACAACTCGAAATCCTTGAGCTCCGTTGGAGGAAGGCCTCTGGTCGCGCAGTCCGCTGTGTTTTCTGTGGGGCTTACGTAACCCATTGAGTTGGCTTCGAACGCTGCAGCATAAAGGCCACCCTTTGACGTCATCGCGCCAGTGTAAGGCAATTTTCTGTACGCGAAGTGAGGCCAGACAATTGAACAACTAGTTTTATTGCCAATACTGCTCAACTCAGCTATGTTCGTGGTATAGTAAATGGCTTTGTTGACCTTTGATGAGCAAGGAAGACTTTCACAGTGTCCTCGTATTCCAGCCTTAGACGTAGGTTGACGATTCATCGCAAAACGCGTGGACCTGCACTGAGACTATGGAGCCTGGATAAAAATGAACCCACCGACTCATGCGGATATTTTCAATCCCTAACAAACCATCTCAAAATCACCGCGCCTTTGAGCCATCCGGGTGCACTATCTTGACTATGGTTAGTTCCTTTAGAATCAGTTTCCGCAGATAATAACAGAAGAAATTCGGAGGTTCAAAAAATCTTGCTATACTAGATGAGATCGCCATCTTTTTGAAAATGGTTGGCAGCTCAAAGTTGGTCTGAATTTTTAAAACATTTGGCAGCCAATACATCTCCAATGCCTTTAGGGCGTCCGTGTTCTCACCAACTTAGAAGCTTGCGCTGCAGCCGAGGAATGCAGCCAGGTGCAAACACACACAAATGCCAGAAAAACTGATTTTAGTGAATTTTTTTCAAAGCAAAGAATATAATAAACTACAAATCCATATTTATATCCGTTACTAATAAAGATTTTAAAGATTTTGTGAAAGTGTTAATGTGATTTCGTATTTTATCAAGTTGTTTTATCTAGTTTTTCAGATCTGACCATTCATTAAGACGAACAAGTATTGTAATCGTCGCTAATTTGTTACCTGCAATCTCAGAAAAAGGCGATGTGATCAGTTCAATCAATTAGTTAGAGGTGCAGAAAACATCGCTTATCCGATGATTTAATAGGCAATCATCGATGTAACATCGATGTTTCTGGACCTTTACAATTAGCCGTCTGAAGAGAAAATGGTTGTTTTCAAATCACGACCTATTAGGACAAATTGTCCCCGTTGTGGTGAAGGTAAAGTTATTTAGGAAAAATCCGTGGGGGCTGAACTTAAGTCGGGACGATAATCTTCGTTAACAGCTTACA